TTGTAAAGCATTAAGTACCATATGTATAGAAGTAAAGCATTGTGTGTTGTGTGTGTATATACATGCATTTTTCTCTTCCATTGTATGGATATATATACAAATATATAATTATAAAAATCTACATATATACTGGGGGGAGCAGGCCTAAGCCACAGTCTGGCCTCCCTCTGCAGGAGGTGACCAGCGGGCTGATTGCCACACCACCAGTGGCCTCCCTCTGCAGGAGGTGACCTGTGGGCCGATCAGGGGGATGGCACTGGCAGGTGAGCAGTCAGCACCACCCCCCATCACCCTGCCCACCCTCCCCCCCATCGCCATCCCCTCCCTCTGCCCTCTGGTACCTCCCTTAGCTGGCCTGGCCCTCACCAGCCCACCCCCTGCCCACTGGTTGTTCCACTGTTCAGTCGATTAGCATATTAGGCTTTTATTATATAGGATGCTCTAACCAGAAATCTTCTATTACTACTTTCTATCAATATTTCTTTTTAAAAAAATATATGTTTTTAGTTATTTCACAGAGAGGAAGGGAGAGGGAGAGAGAGATAGAAACATCAATGATGAGAGAAAATCATCAATCAGCTGCCTCCTGCAAGCTCCCTACTGGGGATCAAGTCTGCAACTGGGGCATTGCCTGGAGTCAAACTGTGACCTCCTTATTCATAGGTCAGTGCTCAACTACAGAGCCACATTGGCTAGGCTCTATCAGTATCTTTAGGTCTGTTTTGTATGAGCCCAAAGCTATAGGTGACAGGTGTGGGGTTTTTTAATTCTAAGATGTAAAATTATTTCCTTCTAAAACCATAATACTTTATTGATCTAATCTAGTGTTAGTTATTAGAAATACCATAATTTGCATTCCCATTGCTACTTCAGCAACTATTTCATTATTTGCAGCAACTATTAAGAAGAATGCAGAACATTTGGGAGATCTTATTATATGTATATTATATACTATATTCTATTATATGTTATATTGTTACATGTTACCTGTTACATGTTATATATTTTATATATATAATCTAATCAACAGACAAATCTACAAGACGTGTGAACAAAACTGTCATTCAACCAAGGATCAAAGAGCCAGGCTTGTCAATAGATGCGCCTAGACTTAGGATGGGGTTATGTCCTGACAAACCCATCATAAATTGAAAATATAAGTTGAACATACATTTAATATACCACAGCCTAGTCTACCTTAGGTGTGATCAGAATACTTATTAACCTACAATTGGGCAAATTCATCTTGCTACCACTGCCCAGTTCATGAGAGTATCATACCACAAATCACTAGCCCAGGATATTGAAAGCAGAGTTTCTACTAAACGTGTATCACTTTTGCACATTCACAAAGTCAAAAAAGCTTAAGTCAAACCTTCAGAAGTCAGGACCATCAGGATAGTCATTTACTAACTCTGAGCTTTTTGGCTCAGGTCAAAACGCAAGACCAATGTTCTGGAGTGCATACTTACTCATTTATGTGGGTTTTGTTTTGTTTTTGTTGATATATGAAAAGCTGTCCATATTTGATGTATGCAGCTTGATGAGTTTGAAGATAAGTACACACAATGAAACCATCACTAAAATCTATACCATAAACATATTTATCAGCTCCAAAGTTTCCTTCCATTCCCTGTATTTATTATTTTTGTATGTGTATGATAAGGATACTTAAAATGAGGTCTAACCTTCCTGCTAATTTTTAAGTGTACAATTCAGTATTGCTAACAACAGGCACTACAGTGTACAGTACATCTTTAGGATTTATTCATCTTGCATAAATAAAACTTTGTACCCTTTGACTAATACCTCCAAGTTTCCCCTTCCTGCAGCCCCTGATTGGTAACCACCATGTGTTTAGCCATAGTGTAGAAAATAAACCTAAGACACGGTTTTGTCTCCTTTGAAGTTTGTGAACTAAATGAATGAGCATGTCTTATTGATGCAGATCATGATTGTTTAGGCACGCATATTATCTTGTTGGTTTAGTTTTACAACATAAGTTTTAGCAGCAGTGGTATTGAATCCTCATTATCTGTGTTTATACTTTGGTTTATCATATTACTAATGTATTATATTTTTCAAATTTAAAGATGCTTATGTATTTTCCTTTTGTCCCAATACCAATGCTTCTGGGGCATATTTTAGAAGGGGGCTTTCAGACAACAATGATCAAAATAGTCCATTATATATGAAATTTCATTCCTGATCATTAGATGAAATAATTCAAAACTCATTTTCTATTTGGGAACTTATATGCCTTCAGATAAGACAATCTTGACCAAATTAGAAATTTAATATATTAACACTAATAAAGGGCACCAACCTTTGGATATACAAGAAGGTAATCCTTGAATTACAAAATATATTTTTAAATTATGCTATGAAAATTTTCATTTTATCAAATAGTTCTTCCAAGCAGACCCTTCTAGGTTATATTTTAATTAAAATTTTAATTGAAAATTTACACATTTGCAGTTTATATGTTTAATTTTTATTTCAAGTATTCTGACATTTATTTTTAAGTGATTATTTCATATGTGATCCACCACATTGTTTACACTGCATTTACCATTTTATATAAGTAGAGTTTTGGTCTCCATCAGCCATTTCTGCACAAGGATTTTGGAAGAAAAGAATAGAAATAATGACAACTCTGTGGCTCATTTGGGAAGAATACTATTTAAATTTGTTCTTAATGTTCAGCTGAAATTAATCTTGATTTCCCATCAAATGTACAGGGATTTTACAATATAGTTCATAACAGTGTTTAATTCCTCTAGGGAGCAAGTTAAGATAAACAAGTCACTGACAGTGTTTATCTATAAATATAGCAGATGGTGTGGGACTGAGGTTGGTTATTAAGTCTGACGACTTTAATTTCATGGTTATAAAACACTGTAAACCTCACTGTTTATAAAAGGCTGGGGAAGAATCTCCAATGGGCTTCAGTAGCCAAGAAACCCTCTGTAACATTAATCTCTCTAACTGATATTTGGTATCCTCCTAGGGTGCAATATTAAAGATTGTGGAGTGATTGCTAGACACTTTAAAATTTTCACTGGGATCATTAGCTAGCATTTCTGTCATTGATCTATTAGAACCTTGTTAATGAGTTCCATGTGAGTGAAATTTAGTGAATGAGATGATTCTTTCTAAACTTTGCTAGGTGAACGTTTAATGGTTACTTTAGGCAGTCATATACATAAAAGATAGTCTAATTTTTCAAAATAATACCTTTTATCTTATGCAAAGGTAAATCATGATACCTAACTAGACAAAATGTACTTAGAGATAGAATTTCATAAAAGAAAACTATAGCACCATTTGAATAATCAATATACATTATATACATTTACATTTAGGCCATGGATCTGTCTAAAAGGTCACAAAATGCCACTGAATTTTTAAAAAGCAAAATAATTTATCCTTCATATTCATAATTAATTTAAATATAATTTTATTATAATAATTTATTTAACTAAAAATCTGTATGCTTAATTTAAATGAAACTAATTCTTCCAAAAAGGACTGCTATTATAAAAATGCTATTATTTGAAATAGCTCAAATTTTCCATTTCAACTTTATAGTGAATGACAAAATTTATTTTATAACCATAAAAGTGAACATTTTTCACAAGCCTTATCTAATTCTATCACTTTCACATTCAGTAGTTGATATTTTAGTTTCTAAGAAGGTCAGATTTCTATGAACATTACATGATAACCCAATATGTGAGTTGGGGATTTAAAAATCTTGAGCTAAAAATACCTTAACTGGATTAAAGTTTAGACTCATTGGGAATGGGTTTTCTAATGACAAAATCCTAGGTTACTTCTCTAGCTCTTACCCTGAGAGTTTGGTAACTGATATAAAACATGAAGCAGTCTGTGTCCTGTGCTTTCTACCAATTATCCATAACATAGACCTCAAACCTTGGTTTCCAAAGAGCTGGCCTCTGAACAGCAGCATCCCTGGGTAGAGAATGGACTAAATGGAACTGATGGTAATGTATCTTCTCATCTCCCTTCCCGCTCAGAGCCTACCATCACTAGTTGTCATGGGACATATTATCCTGCTACTTGATACACTCATTTCTGCAAAAAACTATCTACTCATACTTGGACTTCCAGGTCTCAAAATGCACAAAGCATGGATAACAGATGATAGCAAAACCTCCTGCAAGTGAAGGCTTTATCTAATTTTTTTATGCATCAAAACTCATCTGGATCAACATCATCATCAAAGAAATTGGATTATTGGGTTATTGGTATGTTTGGCAATATTTGTGTTGAACTGGCTCAAGACTAGGGGTGATTTCACTTCAAAATTATTAATAAAAGTCATCTAAAATAGCTTTATAAATTAATTTTAAGGATTGCATCTTTTCATCTTGTGTTTTGTGAAGTGAGGTAAACATGTGTTTTGCAAAACATGGCCATGAAGACTAGGGTCACAGAGTGGCCAAGAGTGCACTTAAGTGAGTAGAAAATAGGTAATAATAGAAACTGAAGGGGTTAAAAAAGGGAAACAGAATAATGGGAATAAGTAGAGCTGGATATCGAGATATCAGAGTAGAGAAGTGAACAGAGTGATTGGTTTAAAGACTCTCCTTTATAAATACACTGGATCTTAGGGAAATAAGATATCATTAAAAGCACATTACAACAATCACTCATGTAAAGAAGGAATTTTTTCAATATCCCAATGGCAGCCTGAAGTTACTGTCTTTCTTTCCCCCAGTTTACCTATATAACTATCTTATAAACTGTGATTTTTTTTCTAATTATGCTTTGAAAAGAGGTTTTTTTTATAAGGAAATTATCTGATTCAAAGATGAAAAAAGCTGTTAAAATTTAAGAAACACCCTAATCTATTATATTTTATTAAATATTAACATAGAAATAAGTTGCTGCCTTATAAAGCAAATTACAACCCATGGGGTAAAAATAATGCTTTTCCTTTATGCTTTAATCTCATTTTCATTATTTTCTTTCAGATTATTCAGCTCCGGCTAATGTCAAAGGCATTGGGTTGCAAAAAAGAAAACAACCAAAGGAAAAAACTCTAAATGGATTTCATTCCCCCTTCAACGGTCAGTTAAACATCCGACCTCTGTGCTATTTTTTATTATTTATTCTCTGTAGAAATCCAGTAATTTTCCTTTAATCTTGTTTCTAGGAGAAGTGATTTATGCCGTCATGTGCATGACAGTCACCTGTGGAATCCTTCTCGTGGTTTTGTTCAAGCTGAGGTAACAGAATACAACCCAGAAGGGAAGGGCTGGAAGTGAATCAGCCCTGTTAAAACACACTGCACCATGGCAGAGCTCACACAGGGCCTGAGAATGAAAGTTTCTCCATTAAGACCTACTAAATCAACATTTAATGTGGGCTGGGTCCATGGAAACGTTACTCTCAGTCATCGTATGTAAGGGAAATGTGATCATAAGGGAATTTTTTACCGTGTATTTTACAAACGCATATGTATTGTTCCCCCAATTAAAGTGTTATCAATCTTTTCCCTGGTTTTCTTATGAAATCCAAATTGAACTTTGCTGCCTTCCTGCTTCCAATCACTTGCAGGATTAATCAGCTTACATAATGGACCTGCTGTGTACTTCACACAGTTTATATTTACCTAGAGGGGTGCTCTTCAGTCACATTTCTTACATGCTAATGTATTTTATTCATGTTTCAATATGCAAGCATCCAGGCCTGTATAATTGGATGCCTCACAGGGTACCATTAGGAAGACATTACTTCAGCCTGACATTTTAATTCACTCTTTCCAAATCCTTTTTCTTGGCTGCCTTTGTTGCTCAAATGCAGTAATGATTCAGGAGGTATGTGAGATTGAAGATTAGAGTCACAGCTGTCTCTGGATTTCTAAATGTCTACGGTTTAAAAATCTTCCATTTATTGACCACTCACAAATAGATATAAAGTGGTGTGCAGTTGCTTACTTTAATTAAAAAATAACCTCATATTTAAATATTATTGATGTCGATTTGCTATTTCATATACCTATGTATATCATTGTATATAATTTGAGTATCATAAATGTTAATGAAGAAATTATATGTGTGTGTGTGTGTGTGTGTGTGTAAACAAACATAAAATACATGTATCAGTAAAATTAGGGCTAGCACATAGCGAGACAATGGGCATCTCTCATCTCATGACACCCAGAGGGGGAGACCGAGTGAACTATGTCATGCGTGTACATATATTGCTCCTCCAGAAACCTCAGACTTCTAGTGCTTGACATAATGGCAGATAAAATGAAAGTGGGAAGAAATGTGGCAATACCAAGGCACAGGCACATGTAGAGTGTATGCTTTGCCGATGGACATTCAATGATATTTATTTTTAACAGCAATGCCAGCTAAATATATCCACCTAATTAATCCATCTTCTCTAAATATTTAATTTGATGCTTATCAATACCAGTACCAAAACAAACTGCTTTCCTCCAATGCCTTAGAAGTCATATTTGTATGAGAATATATTTCTTGGGTTCCAAGGTAAGTTTAAAGGCCAAATAATTAGAGTCAGTTTCAAGGGGAAAATAGAATTTGGAATTTATTCAACTTTTCTTTATGTGGTTTAAAATGTTTGAGAACACTGTTCAGACACTGGGCCTGCCTAGATAGTCCATCACAGACATATTGTTGCAGAGAAGCAGAAATGGTTCTCTAGCAAAAGTCTTACTTTAATGGTTCCCAATCTTTATTTTTTAGCCTCACATATAATGTATCAAGTTCACATCTGCCACACAGGCCCATGGGTTTTCACAGATTACTGTTGTACTGTTGTGCCACAGATAAATAAGGTGACGGCCATTTAAAATTCCCTGTGTATCAGCTGTAACTTTACCTCTTTTCTTGCCTACGTACATAGGCATATCCCTTTACTGCATGACAATGGCCGTAAAGTGTTACAGACAAAAATCTTAATGTACTCCAATATGTATTTTAAAGCAAATCATTCATACAATTTAAAATTGTATGAATTATTTTCCATACAGTTTAAAATTGATTCTGACCTGTAATCTGAAAGGTCCACACTCTGGGTTAAGGAAATGATAAAAGTAAAAGCCATCATAGAAAGAAAGAATAAAGTAGAACAAAAGCATCATTAACAACCAAACCTGTGTTACCGCACATCTGCAGATAAATAAGGCTTTCTCAATGAAGGAAGGCTGAGTGCCACTCACCTGGTAGTCACATCGCATCCATGTGAACACCTTTCCACAGCAAAGATGAACATTTTTGCATTTGTGTCATGTTATGCTAAATTAAAACAGCCTAAGTCTTCAAAGAAATTTGCAGAGTACCCAATAATTTAAAACACAAATATTTGAGAAAATAAATGACTCTTTTTCTTTTTGCAAATGATTACTTGGAAATCATAGTTCAATGCATGAGACCTCTTAGAAAGACCATAGAACCTTCTACTATTGGGTCTTTACATTCAGGAAGTTGATTCATTTTTCCCTTCAGGCATAGAATCCACCAAAAAATATAAGCACACATACATTTTTAAAATCCTTAAATTGGCTAATTGTTAACTTTTGCTTTTACTTTTATGTAGAACCTTCAGAATATCAACTCAAACCAGAGATCGATCACCAAGCCAAATACCTGGAGGACTCATGGTTCATTAAGAATCTTGGATCATTAACAATCACTTCCTTTCAAGCAGGTCTTTCTAGCCAGTCAACAGAATATCCTGTTCATCATCAATAAAGAAAATGTTAAGAAGGGTTTAATGATATTGTATCATTAAGGATAATAATGTAAGGTATAATAATATGACAAGTGTTCGATTTATTTTTTCTTTATAAGTTATTAACTATAAATAAACAGTGATATCTTTTATGAGACCAATACAGAATTACAGAAATGCCCTTGAAGGCAAAAAGTGTTATCTTAAATTACAGTCTACATGATTTATTGCATGATAAAATTTGAATCTATAAAATGGTAATTAGCTACGTCATAATATGACATGGTTAGCAGGGTTTTTTTCTGATCAATTTAAAAAATTCCCATTAACTTGCCTAAAGAAAAATGTAATAAAATACCTAGTTTGGCCCTGACCAGTTTGGCTTAGTGGATAGAGCGTCGGCCTGCAGATTCCGGTCAGGGGCATGTACCTTGGTTGCGGGCACATCTCTAGTAGGGAATGTGCAGGAGGCAGCTGATCGATGTTTCTCTCTCATTGATGTTTCTAACTCTCTATCACTCTCCTTCTCCCTTACTCTCTGTAAAAAATCAATAAAATATATTTAAAAAATACCTAGTATGTTTTTACTTGTATATCTTATATACAAATTAGATAAATTATTAGCATTGACTTTAACTTCCTAAGCATATTCATTTAGATGACTAGTCTTAAAAATTGCAAGTGGTATCTTTGGTTTTTTAAAATTTAATACTGTTGAACTTTACTTTTTAACTTGATGTCTGTATTTTTTATTCATAAAGCTGTAAAGCAACTAATTGGTTGAAACATCTGTGCATCTTAACAATAATATCTTTTATTTATTTATAAATTTAATTTTTCCTATGCTAATTATGAACTTCTGCAATAACAAGGTAACATGATACTTGTTACTTTATTGTTTCCAAATTGTGACTTTTGGCTTGGTTTGATATCAGAGTATAATTGTGATAAAAAATTATGGAAAAATTGTTTATTAAGTTTTTGATGCATATATGTTTTCAAAGTGCAATCATATTTGGATCCATTGATAAGAATAAATGAGGTATTATGTTTTTTTTATCAACAGAGGCACAGATATTCAATAACCCATGCATACAAATAATTAGTAACATTCTGTATTTACAATTAAAGGTCAAACATTTTCTGTCTGTTTGATGTCATCTATTGCTGTTCACTACACTTCAGATCAAATTATCTACATTAAATTACATTTGAAGTTAACATTTGGCTATGCGTACTCAGAGTAATTAAAAAAGCCTTCCTTTATCTTTTAAAACAGGAAGGAATAACTTGGTGAGTTATAAATCTCCCTCAAGGAGTTCTCCACATTCCAGTGGCTGTTAACACTCTAAGTTAACGTGAAGAGAACGTGGGCATTTCCATCTCCAAAACTGACATTTAATTTGGTTTTCTAACGCCTGGGAGAACGTGAACTCTTCTCTGGAAAGCTGAGGGAAGAAATCAAGTTGCCTTTAGAAATATGTTTGTGTTGAGCAGAGAAGGAAAGGACAGAGCATAAAGGAGAAGGACTCCCTTAAAAACAATCTTGTCTCCTAGGCAAGCAAGAGTGAGCAAGCCATTCTGGGCAGAACTGCAGAAACAGGAATCAGCATGAAGTATTTAGAGAATTCTAAATAGGCAGCTGTCTCTGGAGCAAGAAGTGCAAATTAAAATAATATGGGAAAGCCCAGGCCGGTGTTGCCCAGTGGTTAGAGTGTCGGCCTGCTAACCAAAGGGTCATGGGTTTGATTCCTGATCAAGGGCACATACCTGGGAAGAAGGTTTGATCCTAGGCCCAGGTCGGGGTGAGTGCAAGAGGCAACCAATCGATGTATCGATGTGTTTTTCTCACATCGATGTCTCTCTCCTCCTCCTTCCTTTCTTCCACTCTCTCTAAAAATCAGTGGAAAAGAATTACAATAATATGGGACATAAAACATAAAATAGAAGACATGCATTAGTACTGAGACAGTAAAGGTTCTTAAACATGATGCTAAGGAGTTGGGACATTCTAAATCTGGTTTGTGAATTCTTCAGGACTTGGCTTGCACCTTTTACTGTTCTGTCCTCTGGGAGCCCTTTTCTAACAGTCTTTCCCACCCAGAGGTCAGGTATCCTTGCTCAGCACTGTCTGTACCTTATATTACTACACCTCGCTGCAATTGGTAAGCACTCTGAATCTGTTGGCTCATCTCTGATTTCCATTCATACCACATAGGGTATGTTCAATAAAAATTGCTCAGTGAATGGATTGCTTCACTTGTATGCCAAAAAACATTTTAAACAAGGAGGTGACATCATCAGATTTATGAATGAGAAAAGGCAGGCTGGCAGACGTGTAAGCGATGGACCAAAGATGACAAAACGGATGGTGAGGAGACTGCCTACAAATGTACTGTAATGTTTAGCCAATGAGTAGTGAAAGCCTGTAGTAATTCATTTGTTCGACACATTTCTTTAGCCACTGTATGTGCCAGCCACTGTACTAGGTGCTGGAGATAGAGTACTGAACAGAGTCCTCTTGGAGATTCAAAAAACAAAGAAGTAAAAAATAATTTCTGAAAATGATAGAGGCTGCTAAGAAAAGGTAGGAGGAGTGACAGTAGAGTCTTGTGAAGAGAACCAGTGGTGATATGAGTATGGAATGAACATAAATGTGTCGTAAACAGAAGGGACGGGGATTTGGGATTACATGTTTGCAGAGAAATTGTGTTGTAAAGACCATGGCAGCAGCAGAGATGAAGAGTAGGCTTCTGATTTATGGCACGAGGTGACCCATGGTGCTATTTAGACAACTGGCCCAGACAGGAGGGGGATGAACTTGGAATGCAAAAGGGCAGCATGCCACTTATCTTCAGATCCGTTCCCACCTGTATCTACTTCTCACACATCCCAGGAGGATGACCCAATCTGAAATATAGGCTTGTCCTCTGGCTTCCAGTGGGTTCTGCCAATGGTGAGAAGTGGCAGGAGATGGGGGTGTATATTCCCTTCAGTCCCTCCAGGAGGGCCCACCTTGGGCTGGTGTTTCCCTGCACAGAGTGGCACTGTTTCTGTGAGTGGCCTTCCCCAGTGAAACTCTCCTGGATCGCAGTAAACATCTCCCCGCCTTTCCTTCAGGGCTGGTTGTCCTAATGGCTCAGCTGTTACCAGCCTCCATTTGTGGATTACCTCTTGTTGTTTTCCTACAACTACCCACACCTGTATAAAGACTCCCTCAGTCCAGCATTCTTAGAGTCAACCCATTTTGGATAACTCGGAGTTTATTTTTTAAAATATATTTTTATTGATTTCAGAGAGGATGGGAGAGGGAGAGGAGAGCGAGAGAGAGAGAGACAGAAACAGCAATGATGAGAGAGAATCATTGATCTGCTGCCTACTGCATGCTCCCCACTGGGGATCGTGCTCGCAACCTGGGCATGTGCCCTGATCAGGAATCTAACCCTAACCTCCTGGTTCATAGGTTGATGCTCAACAGCTGAGCCACACTGGCAGGCCTGGATAACTCGTAGTTTATCCTAATTTGCATAAACTGATCATTGTTTCAGGTTTGGACTGACACCAGTGGGATATCCGTGTGGAGTTGCTATTAGTCCAGTGGAAAATATGGTGTGGTACTGCTAAGTGAGATCTGTGCTACAACACCGCATTTAGAGTTGTCCAGTGTCTTCCAGCTCTTTCTCCCCAGATGAGAAAGTGAGTTTACCACCTGAGGGTCGTCTGGGCGAAAACCACTGAGGAAGGGTGGCCAGATCATAGACATTCCTCAGAAAAATCCAACCACCGATCCAATTCCTTCCAGAGCAGCCTGGCTATTCCTGTAATAAATATTTGTGCTGCTAGCTGCTTCTGCCTATTTACCCACTGCCTTTTCCCCAGGATTCTGTCCGTGACCTCCCGCAGGTGTTCCTGGGCACCAGGAGTCAGCAGAGTGGTACCAGGTGGAACTCAGTGAGGTGAATAAAAAGGTCTCCTGGGAAGGGCTTTGCGGCAGAAAGAAGATAGTCTTTGTGGTTCCTCTGGAGCTGGGTGTGAGTCTGCTCCTCCTTTTAAATTCCCCTGGAGCGTTCTGAAATGTGCATCCCTTTCATGGCCACGTGGGGTGAGACGAATACAAACAACTAAAAGAGTAAGTGAAATGTTTCTTCTTTTTATTTTGTGAGAACAGTCAAAATTGTGAGCTCTAGCCCTGACCTGTTTGGCTCAGTGGATAGAGTGTCAGCCTGAGGACTCAAGGGTCCCAGGTTCAATTCCGGTCAAGGGCATGTACCTTGGTTGCGGGCATATCCCCAGTGGGGGTTGTGCAGGAGGCAGCTGATCGATGTTTCTCTCTCATCAATGTTTCTGACTCTCTATCCCTCTCCCTTCCGCTCTGTAAAAAATCAATAAAATATATTTTTAAAAAATTGTGAGCTGTACAACCAAAGAATAAGATCTAAGGGATTGATGGTCAAAATGATGGCATTGCTGTTTAAGAGGCAGGGTGAGTGAGCATGCGTGCTCAATGCACTACAACCTCTAAGTGTCCTTGTCTGCCATGGCGGCTTGTCTCACACTCGGCTTCTTTTTGAATTCTGAGATGAAACCATCTGGGCTGCGGCGGTTTATTCCACTTGAGTTCCTCGGGTTGTCCCCTAAGTGCCTCTTTGAGGTTTAGTGTCTGTTCAGGTCATACTGGTTGCACCCCCAAGCTGAGGATGGTACCAAGAATGTTTCTAAAACCTTCTCCACAGACAAACCAGGGGCAATAAATGTGTTCTTAATCAGGGCTTTATAACACAGGTGTGTGTTATCTTGGTTCTACAAAGAGAAGGAAAGCATACCTTTTAAATGCAGCAGTTTAAAGTTTTTGTTAGGCAAATTATCATTTAATATAGTCAAGTCATAAAACTTCATAAAATGGAATTTTTCATTTGGTGCATATAATTATGTTAATCT